AGTATGCTAAGAATCTAGTCAAGAAGTTTGATCTGGAATCGTGTAAACCATCCAGGACACCTATTTCTATCTCGACAAAAGTATCTAAAGATGACGCTGGTGCATCAGTGGATAACACAGTCTACCGGAGTCTGATAGGAAGTCTGCTGTACTTAACCGCTAGTCGACCAGACATAATGTTCAGTGTTGGAATATGTGCAAGGTATCAATCTGATCCAAAAGAATCACACCTGATAGCTGCTAAACGTATTTTGAAATATATAAAAGGAACGATTCAATATGGGCTATGGTACTCCAAGGACAGTGAACTTAGTCTGGTTGCATACTGTGATGCTGATTAGGCAGGAAATATTGATGACCGAAAGAGTACTTCGAGAGGATGCTTCTTTGTTGGTAAGAATTTGGTCTCGTGGCTGAGCAAAAAACAGAATTCGATTTCCTTAAGCACTGCAGAAGCATAATACATAGCCGCTGGTGGATGTTGTACTTAGTTAGTATGGATGAAACAGATGCTTCTAGACTATGGGCTTACTCAAGGAATTATGACACTCTACTATGACAATGTCAGTGCAATCAATATCTCGAAGAATCCAGTTCAACATTCTATAACGAAGCATATTGATATAAGGCATCACTACATCAGAGACTTGGTAGAGTCTAAGGAGATTGAGTTGGAATACATTCAAACAGAAAAGCAATTGGCTGACATTCTGACTAAACCTCTGGATGCAAATCGGTTTGAGATTTTCAGATCTGCTCTTGGGATCTGCAGGATTGACTAATAAGACAGTTCGTTATATAGAAGGAGAGTGCATGGTGTTACATTTACGGGTCAAATTCCAGCTTTGACTTCCTTTTAAAACTCCCTTCTGTTTTGTTAAGAGAATATCTTAACCTAAATTACCATAAAGTAATTAGCCTTTTTCGAATTTCAAATCTTCCACTCATTCATTTCTTTCCTAAAAAGGAGGTATACCGTTGCGTCAATCACATCAGCTCTGCATGTAATCTGACAAGCCGCATTAATTAGGGTTCTTCGCCCTTGGGACTATATTTGTTTATCGGGTCAAGCTTGGAAGGAAGAAGAGTTCAAAATATCTCTGCTCACTAATTAGTCTCTCTCTCTCTGCTCTTCTACCTAGGGTTTATTTTCTCACACACCCAAATTACATTCCAATGGCGGACGCTGTACGAAACATATCATCAAGCTTGGGAGGAAGTCCCACTCACTAGAAATAGCCACCAAGCATGTCAAAACACTGCTCCAGTTAGCTATGAAGAAGAAGTTGAAGCTTGATCCTCTTCTACGCGATGAAATCATGGTAGCAGTGCTATCAGATTATCTATAGTTCTATGCCGACTGGTCCGGAGATGATACCAGTGAGCTCTTGTTGCTGGCCTCCGAAGCGAGTGATGAGGTTAGCCCAGCATCTATTCCAGAGCCCACAGATGGAAATCGGGCTGGGGTGTTTCTCCAATACTTTGCACAAAGAGCTCTTGAATCAGACAAGGTCTCACGTCGTCGAGCAGCAGCACAACCTCTGTACTTACAGGCTGCCCAGGACGAAACCAGACACCGGCTTGAGATTCTTCGTAACAGGTCCAATACTTCTGATTCTCCTATTGAAATCTCTCCTGATAAGCCTGATGATTTAGTCTGTGATGCTATTCCGTCTGCTGTGCCTATTGATTCTAATAATGTGAATGCTTTAATATCTGTGAAATCCTCTATGTCTGATGATCCCCCATGTATCCCCTCCGAGAAGCCAGAACCTTTGAAGAATGTTGTTGATGTGTCTGATGAGAAAAATAAACCGTATGAGCAGACCAACAATCTGAGTTTGGCTGTTTACTCTGCTGATAAAGTTGCTCTGCCTCCTTCTGAAATTGCTGCATCCCCAAGTGAAATCTGTCCATCTGAGAATCCTTCCAGTTTGCCCACTGAAGTTGAGGCTGTGATAAGTGCATAATTGTTCATATTTATACCCCATGTCTACCCTATATTTAGCCTTGTTTTGCTTATGAAGTGTCACAATGTTGTTCAAAATTATCTTTATTTTGCTCATTTGGTCCATTATGCACAATTCATTACCTTTGAGTAGAAATGAAGGATTTTAGATCATGTTGGATGCATTTGGAGTCAAGGGGAGCCAAGGTGAAGCTAAGGAGATGGATGCAACACTTCCAAAGGAGCCAAAGAGTATTGTTTTCAATGGTGTTGATCATATGGACAAATTAAACCAAGGCAAAAGTAGAACAAGTATCAACAAGCTGAAATTCTCGCATGGATTGGACACTGTTCTGTTTTCGGGCCATATCTCGGTCTAGAAATATCCAATTTATGTGATTCTTGTCCCTTTGGAAAGAAGACTCAAAGAGCTATAACTCATATTCAGACATTAAAGCCTAAAAAGGAATCCACAGGGGTCAAAATTGTCCTTGAAGTTGAGGTTTCAAGTTTACAATCCAAAACTGACCACTGTTTGGGTTTTGGACCATATATCAGCCTAGGAATGTCCAAATGAAGTTATTCTTGCTCCATTGGAAAGAAGACTCGAAGGGAGACAATTTCCATGAAGACCATAGTTCCAAAATCGGATTTTTTGAAGGCCAAAAGACACGGCCAAGTGTACGGACGTGTCTGTGGCCGTGTATTTTCTGTGCATTCCAGTAGCTACTGCTGTTTTGGACCATGTCCCTGGCCGTGTCACCTCTGCTGCAACTTTTTATAAACTCCGTTTTTTGTTATGTTTACTTGTTTTTGACTCTTGTTAGAACCCTAGACACTCTCTTTCATTCTCCTTCATATTTTTAGGTTAGATTAGGCTTAGATTTATGTTTCTTAACACTTTTGAAGCTTGTAATCTTGGATTTGAAGCTTGGATTCCAACATTTCAAGATTCCACCATCCATTTTCAATAGAGAAGCTTCTTCTCCCTTTTATCTCTTTATCTTGCAATGTTTATGCTTTACACTTATGCTTTTGTGTTCTTTATGCTATTTAATCATGAGTAGTTAGTTTTTGGACTTGAGTTAGGGTTGTATTATCTATCTTGATGCTTGATTTGTGATTATTGCAAAAAAGGGGAAGAACTCCAACCTAGGGTTCATGTGTTTGTGAAGGTTTTGTATTTATATCTTGTTAATGTTTGATGTACACATTCATTAGCTTGTTTTTGGAGGATTCCTTGCCTCAACGAGAGTTGGGTGATTAATCCAAGCCACCCCTTGTATAGACCTGATTTCTTCCTACGAAAATAGGGGAAATTGGGGGCTTTAGATGCTTTGTGTTCTTGATGGACTTGGAATTGATTCACCACGAAAGTGGGGCAATTCCTTGTTCTAATCCTTGTTTATTAATCACGAGAATGGTTCATAGACTAGGATACCTACGTGCATTCCCGCTTGATTCCTTGGTTACTTGTTCTCCATAATCCCTTAGGTTGTTAAAGCATCTAGATGATAATGCTTCCTAGCTTGAGTCATATTTCTTTATTTTGTGTTTATCTTTGCGTATATGTGTTAGTCTTATCATTTCCTTAAACTTGTAGTTTGCTTAGCTTCTTGTTGATTTCCTTATGCTAGTGCCTAGTTTATTGTGATTGCATATTGCGTGCCATATCCCCCAATCCCCTGAGGACGACATTACACACCCGTATACTCACCACATCTTATTTTTGCTACAATCAAAAATTGGCGCCGTTGCCGGGGATTGGAAATTTGGCGGTTCTATGTGATTGCTTGTTTTACTAGCATTGGAGTTTAGGGAATCTTAGGAGACTAAGCTTTTTTTCTTTCTTTTTGTTTGTTTTTATTGTTCAAAGTGCTAATTGTTTAACCTTGTTTGAGTTTCGGTTAAAGGATCTTTTCTTTGTGCATTCACTTTTAATTGAAAACGAAGAGTTCTCACCACTCTATCAAGAACTTTCAATTATGGAGGGGTATGATTTCCAAGAGCAAAGAATGTCATTGCCCGATTTCATCAAAATGGGTATAAAGACCTATCAAGGTGGTCCACTTCAATCATCCTTTCTTATTCTAAGTGGTGTTCCTATTGTGGTGAAGCTCATGCATTGGAGAATTGTTACAAGTTAAACTCCACAAGTCCAACACCACCTCAAGATTGTCAACCTTTCCCTCAAGAACGTGGTATCAATATGAGTCAAGGAGTCCTTCAAGAAGAAACTTTTCAAGCTTTGGAGCCACAATCTCCATGGTGTGCTATATGTGGTGGTTCTCATGCTATGGAAAGTTGTTACATATTGACTCCCACTTACCAAATGCCTCACCAAGACACTCAACAACAAGCTTTGGAATATAATGTCAATGTCAATGAAGAAGCTTTACAAGGAGGTACACCACCAATTTTCATGCCACAACCTCTTTGGTGTGCCATATGTGGAGGACCACATGAAGCCGAAGGATGCTACATCTTTGATCCTAATTTCCAATATCAAGGCCAAGTTCAAGAACCTCCACATCAAGAACCTCAACAACAATATGAAGACCAATTTCAAGAAGTCTCTTACCAAGAACCTCAACAAGAATGTCAACCATTTGATCAGGAGTTCGAGATGAAGTCCATGATGGCCAATATGCTTATGCAAATGAATGAGCTACAAGTTCAACTAGACAACTTGATGGCTCAAAGAAAAGGTCTTGTGGTTGATGGAAATGAAAAGGAGGGTGAGGACCTTGAAGATAAAGATGAAGATGATGATGTCTATGATGAATGCATTGAGATGGAGATACCAAGTTGGGGTGAAAGTGTAGAGTTGCAAGGGGATAATGGTGATGAGGATCAACTTGAAGATGATCCCATTGAAGAAGTGCTCAATGAAGATGAAATTGATGAAATATGTGGCACAAACAAAGATTGCTCTTTATTGGATGACACTCCCTTTGATGAGGACTTTAGAGTGATTTGGGAACCGGGAGGAGTCAATATTCTTGAAAGCGTAGGCCCTCATTGGCCTATATTCATATCCAAAGATTCTTACTTCCTATTGGTGCATGAAGAAGATCCAAGGTTTCCATTACTTGCTCAAGAAAAGGGTAATCAAGAAGAGAATGGGAATGTAGACTTTGGGATTGGTAAATCTCATCTCTACTACCAAGAAGCAATGTTTAGGAAGAAATCCTTGTTGGATTTGTGGATTAAAAATGGATTTGAGGAAAGATGCATGAAACTTGGAATAAAGAGCATTGGAATCTTAGCAATTGGAATGGTGGATTTTTGCATAACGGAGTTTGTTGATAGCCACCACTTGAGGAAATATTTGGAGGATAAATTTGCAAAGAAGGATGGAATGTTCTTTCTCCAATCCAATGATAGTTGAAACTTGGGAGGTTGAGTCGAGCTAACGACGTTAAACTTAGCGCTTCATGGGAGGCACCCCATGTTATCTTTTATTTTGTTGCATTTTATTTTCCTCTTTATTTTTCTTAGCACTTTTATTTTTGATATATCATGCTTTCACTTGTGCTTTCATGTATATATTCTCTTGACTCTAGGAGTGACACCAAGGAGTATGCTCAATTCCAAGAAGGCTTCATGATGATTCTTTGGCACTAGAAGATTCATTAAGGGAGTCTCATCTACCTTCTCTACTTTCTTTAACTGTGTATAGTGCTATACTTGGTGTAGTTAGTAGAGATTGTGCTCCTTGTGCTTATTGTGCCATCCTTTCCCCCTTGTGCTTTGTTTTCTTTCGCATCGAGGACGATGTATCCTTTAAGTGGGGGGAGGGGATAATTTGGGTGTTTTCTTAAAAAAAATTGAAACTTTTTGAACTTTGCTTGGATGACTCTTTGTGCATAATGTTTGGTAAATTACCTTTCCTTGCTTGAAGTTGTGATTACTCCCTCTTTGTTGGTTGGTGGTTTGTTTTGGTGAAACTTGTTGCAATTCAACTTGTGATTGATGAGCCAAGGGGTAACTCATGATTGATCTATTCTCTTGCCAATAACCTTGTTAACCACTTAATAATTGAATCAATTATTGATCTTGTGTGTTATGCATTGCTAGTGAAGGCTTATGTGAGATTCCGGTCATGGTTGTTTTGCTAGAACTTGCCTAATTACTCCCCAAGTGAAGCTTAAGATTTGCATGTTTTGAAATGATTTAGGCCATTTTTGTTTAGCCCAAGCCTTTAAGCCTACCCATTAAGTATGTTTTTATCTCTAGTTATCCCCGTTGAGCCTTTTGTTTGTTTAATAAGTGCTAAGCACTTGTCTCCTCTTTGTGATTGTTTTTCCTTGTGTTAACCCTCATCTTTTAACCTTCAACCCTTAGCCAAAAATGTTTCCCTCCACCCTTGAGAGAATGGAGCATTTGTTCTTTTTCATAGAAGAGACTTTTATTAGAGTTTGTTTCGCTAGCAATCCTTTGATAATTTTGTCTAAGTGTGGGGATATTGGTTCATGGAATAAGTTTGTTTATTGTTTTGAAATAAAGAAAAGAAAAAAAAAGAATGATGAGAAGATTGAGAAAAGAAGTCATGAAAAAGAGATGAAATGAGAAAAATGAAAAGAAAAGGAAGAAAAATAAAAGCTTGAAGCTTGATTCTAGTTTGTGTTGAAAGTTGTACTCAACCCCCACTTCTTTAGAGTGTTGCTTTGTGTCAATTGTAAATTGCTCCTTTAATTTATATATGTTATATCTCTTCTAGATCCAATTGTGAATAAATGTGAAGTTCTCTCTTTTGTTTAATTTTCATACCCCTTCTTTGTTAGCCATTCACCCTTAGCCCCATTACAAGCCAAATAAAAGTCCTACTTGATCTTAACATGCAATCTTAGAGTTGAACTAGTGGGAGTATGAAGGGCAAGCCTATGGAATCTCATTCAAAGCCAAGTTTTGCATAATCTCAACTTAGCATTTGTGCACACTTGATCATCACACACTTAAATAATTTTGGTGCTTGGTTATTGGCTTGAGAATTGAACTTGTGTGGAAGGCTAAAATGATTCTTGAAACAAGTTGCGTTGTAACAAGTTGGATTGTGGTTTGATAGGTTGTGCAAAGTGGGAGTGTGATCAATTTCATTGCAAGGATGGTGATTTACTTCTTGTTTTTGCTTGAGGACAAGCAAAGGTTTAAGTGTGGGGGAGTTGATAAGTGCATAATTGTTCATATTTATACCCCATGTCTACCCCATATTTAGCCTTGTTTTGCTTATGAAGTGTCACAATGTTGTTCAAAATTATCTTTATTTTGCTCATTTGGTCCATTATGCACAATTCATTATCTTTGAGTAGAAATGAAGGATTTTAGATCATGTTGGATGCATTTGGAGTGAAGGGGAGCCAATGTGAAGCTAAGGAGATGGATGCAACACTTCCAAAGGAGCCAAAGAGTATTGTTTTCAATGGTGTTGATCATATGGACAAATTAAACCAAGGCAAAAGTAGAACAAGTATCAACAAGCTGAAATTCTCGCATGGATTGGACACTGTTCTGTTTTTGGGCCATATCTCGGTCTTGAAATATCCAATTTATGTGATTCTTGTCCCATTGGAAATAAGACTCAAAGAGCTACAACTCATATTCAAACATCAAAGCCTAAAAAGGAGGCTACAGGGGTCGAAATTGTCTTTGAAGTTGAAGTTCCAAGTTTACAATTCAAAACTGACTACTGTTTGGTTTTTGGACCATATATCAGCCTAGGAATGTCCAGATAAAGTGATTCTTGCTCCATTGGAAAGAAGACTCGAAGGGCTACAACTTTCATGAAGACCATAGTTCCAAAATCTGACGTTTTGAAGACCAAAAGACACGGACAAGTGCACGGCCGTGTCTTTGGCCGTGTATTTTCTGTGCATTCCAGTAGCTACTGCTGTTTTGGACGGCCGTGTCACCTCTGCTGCAACTTTTTATAAACTCTGTTTTTTGTTATTTTTACTTGGTTTTGACTCTTGTTAGAACCCTAGACAGTCTCTTTCATTCTCCTTCATATTTTTAGGTTAGATTAGGCTTAGATTTATGTTTCTTAACACTTTTGAAGCTTGTAATCTTGGATTTGAAGCTTGGATTCCAACATTTCAAGATTCCACCATCCATTTTCAATAGAGAAGCTTCTTCCCCCTTTTATCTCTTTATCTTTCAATGTTTATGCTTTACACTTATGCTTTTGTGTTCTTTATGCTATTTAATCATGAGTAGTTAGTTTTTGGACTTGAGTTAGGGTTGTATTATCTATCTTGATGCTTGATTTGTGATTATTGCAAAAAAAGGGGAAGAACTCCAACCTAGGGTTCATGTGTTTGTGAAGGTTTTTTATTTATATCTTGTTAATGTTTGATGTACACATTCATTAGCTTGTTTTTGGAGGATTCCTTGCCTCAACGAGAGTTGGGTGATTAATCCAAGCCACCCCTTGTATAGACCTGATTTCTTCCTACGAAAATAGGGGAAATTGGGGGCTTTAGATGCTTTGTGTTCTTGATGGACTTGGAATTGATTCACCACGAAAGTGGGGCAATTCCTTGTTCTAATCCTTGTTTATTAATCACGAGAATGGTTCATAGACTAGGATACCTACGTGCATTCCCGCTTGATTCCTTGGTTACTTGTTCTCCATAATCCCTTAGGTTGTTAAAGCATCTAGATGATAATGCTTCCTAGCTTGAGTCCTATTTCTTTATTTTGTGTTTATCTTTGCGTATATGTGTTAGTCTTATCATTTCCTTAAACTTGTAGTTTGCTTAGCTTCTTGTTGATTTCCTTATGCTAGTGCCTAGTTTATTGTGATTGCATATTGCGTGCCATATCCCCCAATCCCCTGAGGACAACATTACACACCCGTATACTCACCACATCTTTTTTTGCTACAATCAGGCTGTCAATCCCTCAAGCCCCCCTGCATCTGATCAAATTGATGGGGTGCCAGTCTATACTTCTTCATCGTTGGCTGAGAGCGTTGAATATGTCCGGCACTTTGCTGGTTTGCATGCTGCCTCTATTCCAGAACCGTATCGTGTGATTCATCTTTCTGAGTCCTCTAGTGAACACGAAAAGATTCTGGCTGAAGTCTATGGCTCACAGGTCCATTCGTCTAAGCCCCCGACTATTAAGGCTACTGCGCATCCTGATTCAACCACCTTCAAGATACGAGAGGTTACTAATCTCCTTGGTGGTTCTACTGCTCATGTTTCTGACTCCAGTCACTCCGTGTCTCCAAGCCCTTCTGCTCATTCTCCATCCAAGGAGACGAGAAGATCCAAACGAAAGAGTGTCCCTGTGAAAGTTGTTGTTGAGTCAGGTGATGACAATGTTGATGTGGATCAACCTGAGAAGAGACGAAAGTCTGGTGAGTCTGCCAAAACTGAAGCTAATCCTCCTGTTCACTAAGTGTTCAAAACACTGCGGTCATCTGTCAAGCAAAAAGTTCCTGTTGTGGTCCCCACATCATCTACCCGAAAGGGGAAACCAACTACCCGCTCCAGAGGACGGAGTATCACTCCTGAGGTTCAACCTGCTGAGAATCCTGACACATCTATCTATAAACCTCAGTTTGTCTCCTCTACTGCTCAAGGAAAATGGTCCACGATGATCCGTAGAGACCTTATTGTTCAGAGGTCTGTTGATGAACACCAGTTGAACTCTCTCTGCGACATCCTGCCTTTGCTGAGTGAAGTGGGCCTGTTGAAGACTGTTTCTTCCATCTGTCCTTATTCGAAGCTCCTGATTTACGAATTCTACTGTAATCTTAATGAGGAGATTGACATTTTGATCGGGACGCGATCAATGCAAATCTTCATTCGTGGTAAATGGTATGTCTTCGGCCCTGATGTGATAAATGAGTATTATGGTTTGAAAGGTGTTCATGAGGAAGAAATCACGGACTGGGATTTGGTGGCAAAGACCCTCACTGGTGGATAAGCTGATACATGGCCTACGGGTGAAAAAGATACTCTGCCTAGCTCACACCTCACCTCCAAATATGTTATCTTGCACCGTCTTGCTCTTCACAACTGGCTTCCATCGGCTCACTTTCATACGGTCGGCAAGCAATTGGCCGCTCTCTTATTTCGAATTGGAACAAAAATGTCTATTGATCTGGGGTCCTGGATCTACTATCATATTCTCACCTTGATCCATCCTCGAGAGCAGAAGGTACGGTTGCCATTCCCTAATCTGATATTTGGTGTTCTAACATCGCAGGGCCTTGAGCCAATGCCTAGTGAGGTGATCAGTCCAACCCTTCTCTATACTGTTGATCATCGTCTTCTGACTGGAGGTCACATTCGCGATGTTACACCGGTGATATCTCCCTCCACTTCTGATGTTGATACAGTGGCTGATGATTCGCCACATGCTAAAGATGTCCAACTCTCTCTTCGTCTGAAGGCCCGGGTCTCTGCACTTGAGACGGTTCACGGAATCATAGCGAAGCAGCTGACAGGGGCTCGTAGTGAATTGGCTATCGTTCATCTCCGTTTAAGCTTGACTGAATCTGCTGCTACTGAGGCTGCTAAGTCTGACAGTGAGACTCCCTCCAATGCTTGACCATGCTTTGACTATCATTGGCAAAAAGGGGAAGTATGAACTCAGGGGGAGTGTTTTATGTTTTTGTACCTTCTGGCCCTGTCTGGGCGACTGATTGTGATGGCACCACCTTTTGAAGAATGTTTAAGAATGTTGTTTTGATCCAGCATGACTTGTATGCTGTGTTTTCTTGTTATGCTTTGTAATCAGATATTTGGTTTTTATGCTAGTCTATCTTAGTCCTATCCAGTTTGTGTTTTTATACGTAGTCGAGTTGTTTTGCCAAATAATAGCCAAAGGGGGAGTTTGTTAGTGTTTTAATTGCTCAAAAAAACCCCAACTTATAATTGGCAATATTATTATAGCAAACTAAGATAAGATTAGCTTAGTGTCGGTTTGTTCTGCAGAGGATTAATTGATCAGTTACAACAACAGAGGGACTGACACTGAAGATCTGTTTTAGGAAGCTGTTTCCTTTTTGCAGTACGCGGTTTATAAAGTCAGATTTGGAAAGAAGATCAGCGTATCTGTCTTGGAAAGGTATGGACCGAATCTTTAAGATTACATTCTTCACATATCGTCCTACCATCTACAATCAGAGATATTTATGGAGAGTGTTCTTGCTATGGAACTATAAGTACTCTTATTCGATCAAGAATTAGGGTTACGCTTTTAAGAAGAAAGAAACACTCCGAACCAGTTAAAGAGATCGTATCTTTGATTATCATGCCTCTTCTCAATACAACTTGTTCTTGGTGATTATGATGAAGAACTTGAGAAGAAATATTACTGCTTAAACGAAAGGACGCTAAGATCACACAGTTGTGGGAACAGCATTGAACAGCGTCACAGAAGTGGACTGCATCAGATTTAGCTCTCCAAGTGAAGGGACTTCATTGGACTTCTGTATGCATGGCTCTCCAACTTCGACAATCCACTAAACCTGTGTAGACTGGGTACGTACCTTGTGTGGGGCACTTGGGTGAGATTGTTGTTTCTCTACCTTTGTACATTGGATTATGAGTTAGTGGATTGGACGCCTTTGTGATCGTCCCCTAGACGTAGATACACACCGTATCGAACTGGTAAACATCTTGTGTGTTACTTTGTGTTTTTGTGTCTCTTTCTATAAACGTCTCAATGATCTATTTAACTGACTGATATCATCGCTGAATCAGTCAGTCCATTTCATCAGTCGTTTAATCTGGTTAATTCGATTAAAATGAGGAAATGCAAAATTACAGACTTTCATTAAAAAAAAAAAAAAAAAGAGATACAGTAATGGATATAATTGATTGAGATTGTCTGAAAAAATCATAAACAATAATGTAAAAAAAAAAAAAAAAAAAAAAAAACATAAATAACATGAAAAGTAACCACGTCACCAACATAAAGAACAAAACTTGTCACATGCCAAATATCCACACATTTGAAGCCTCATACCTTTCACCCCTAACAAAATATTGTGCACATACAAACCTCCATTTGGCTGCTGATTGGCTTCTCAGCTACCTTTGTGGAAATTTGCTGTCAGATCTGGATTTTTAGATGGAACCCAATGTAGATGAGGCTCTTAGAGCTAAGGTAAATGCTGAAAAGAGATTTGCTGAGAAGGACTTTTTGGGTGCAAAAAATTATGCTTTGAAAGCTCAAATGTTGTGCCCTGATTTAGAGGGCATAGCTCAAATGGTGGTAACTTTTGGAGTTCACAGTGCTGCTGAGATGAAAATTAATGGAGAGATTGATTTCTATGCAATCCTAGGATTGGACCCATCTGCAGTTAAGTCTCATGTGAAAAAAAACAGTACAGAAAGATTCTTGGACCTCTCTCTATCGAAAATGGTGGCCTCGAGTCCGGACAGAGTTGGAGTTCGTGACTGTTGGCCGTTGGTGCAGCAGTGGGCTCTCTACGTTGACGTCCATGTTTTTTTCCGGTAATTTTTGGTGGTCTCTGGTTCGAGTTTGTCGTGGTCCCAGTTCCCGGCGGTGTTTGTTGTTTGGTTCCATGGTTTTCTGCTCTGCTTTTGCATTTTCTGGAGACCTTGTGTCGCTCGGAGGCTTTTCTGGCGTTGGGAGTTCTTTCCGGCGAAAGGGAGGCATCCGGCGTATGTTGCTGCTTTTGATTGGCCCCCCTTTTTTAGTCGTTATTGCTCTGAAATGGCGCCTGGAATTTGGACAGTCTTGGAGATGGTGTTGGGTGGCTCCGGCCGTGTGTCAGTTTGCCCTTGATTTTTCCGGGGGTGATTTCGGGCTGTGTTTGGGTGGTTGCAGTGGGTTAGTGCACCTGTTCGAAGCTGTTTGTTTGTTTTTTTTTCCGGCAAAAAAAAATGGGTCGCCGGTGACTGGTGCTGCTGGATTCCGGCAGGAGTTGGTCGGTGCGCCGGTCTTCTAGATTTTTCCATAAACTTGCGCGGTTCGGTGGTTAGCATGGGAAACTGAACATTTTATTATTGCACAACTCCACAAGGTGTATGTTTTTTTTGAATTTAAAAAATGGTGATGATTTAGGCGTTAATTCTTCAAGCTGGCATAGCAGGAGAAATACTGTGTTTGGCGAAAGACCCAAATTCCACGCACTGCACACAACCCAAAAGAATTAATTAACATCAAATATTGAAATTACCAACAAATTAAACTATATATATCTAATGAACAGATACTACAATGTAATAGAACCAGTAGCTTTCAAAAAAAAAAAAAAAAAAAAAACTATATATATCTAGGTATTTTACTCAACATAATTGAAGTTTTTTAGTATCAAATAATATAATTAAATATAAAGTTAACATGATAAAATGTTTGATAATTATTTTATTGTAAAATATTTTTAAAATTTTAGATATAATTCATAATTGTCACTTAAACTTTCGCGAATACATTTATTTTAAAATATCTTATTTATTTTGACCATTCCTTTGTAAAATAAGATCAGATAATAAAATTTAATTTGACTACCTAACATCACAGCCCACGTCTTTCACCAACCTCTGCTAACTCTTTTTTGTTCTTTTTTTTCTTTGGGTGGATATGGGTGCAGTGGGCAGTGGGCTTACAAGAAAGATAACCATATTACACACACACACACACACACACACATATATATATATATATATATATATATATATATATATATAATTTGGAAATTATTTAAATATATTATTATAATTAGATTGAATTATTATAATTGAATATATGTATGATTATTTTAAATATTATTGTTGAATTTAGAGTGTTTTAGTATTTTAATGAATTGCAAATTATTTTGAAATTGTTTGAAATATTATTGCTATGAATTAATATCCATTTAGTGTATTAATTATAAAGTTCACATGATTCGAAAATATATTATTTATTTTAACGGTTGTAAAATAAAATCGGATAAAATAATGGTATGTCTGTCAGAGCTGTCTACTCTCTCCCGTTTTAAAACTTTCAAGTCTCACCACTCCATTAGGCCATCCGCGCAGAGAAAGAGAGAGAGAACATTAGCCATTAGGGCAAGAGTTTGAGAGAGAGAAGAAAAAAAAAAAAAAAAAAAAAAAAAAAAAAAGTGTAATGTCGCACTCGCAGCGGCCACCGCGGTTCCCCACTCCACCTCAGCAGAGGGCTTCGTCGTTGAACCTTGAGCTACATCTTGGGCAGCCAGAAGCTTCGTCGTCCAGGGCGCCACCGCCCTATTTTGACACCGTCCTTCGCTTAGGCGTAACGCCGCAGACGGAGGATGCTCCTCCGCTTGCTGTAATAACTCAACCCCATTCTTTCTGTTTTCTTTTTTTTTTTTTCTTTTTTTTACTGGACCTGACCCTGTATCACAATTCAGATAATTTAACCTAGAATCAAGAAAGTCCTTCCACTATGAATTAATTTGAAACTTTATAATTATCAAGCCTCAACTAACATTCTTATTCTTTATATGCAGTATGCGGCGGCGGACGAAGAAATACTGGAAGTGACGACGAAGAGCGGCAAGCTGAAAGCCTTGCTTGACAGTTATATAACTCATGCTAAGACCATGGAGGAGAGGGTGATGACTCTTACGGAAACCAACACTGCTCTCAATGCTGCCCTGGACGAGGCCACGCATCCGACGGGCGGCGGCGGTCTGGAGGAGGCACAGTCGTCGTCGTTGGACCCAGATCAATCGATGGTGTTTAGTATCTGTTGCAAAAGGTGCCGTAGAAAGCCTGCAACGATGATGGCATGGCCGTGCAACCATCTCTGCCTCTGCCAGGACTGCGTTGCAGGTACCGACCGCTGTGCAAGTTGCAAAGCTAAATTCTCCCAACCCTGCACCCAAGTCAAATTTGACTAGTTATTTATTACGGTATTATTTTTCATTTCTTCTTCCCTAGCTTACTCTTCGATCTTCAAAATAACAAGTAGCTAGGGTTCCTTTTACTATCTATCACAGCCAGACCTATAGTGCCTTCCATTATATTCTACTGTTTTCTTGATGTATTGTAGAAATGATGTTTCAATTCTACCTCGCTCAAATTGTGTTAGTAACAATCAATTGGTATTATATTATTACGAGTCAGTATGAAATGGTCGTCTTGCCATGGACAATATTGGTATCTCCGTGATGATGCATGTGATTTTCAGGTTCAATATGTGCGTGGTAAGTTTAATTTGCGAAAACACTCCAATATAATAACGTAACACAAAAACAATACGTAAATACGTTGGACACTAATTAAGTTTGTCGCAGGTACAGATTGTTAATATTGTTGATGTGGCCTGGCCTGGCCTGGGACTCCTTTAATAGAACACAAAAAATTGTTAAAGGAGTCACAAACAAATCTCCCAAATTCTACTGTGCCACTTTAGGTTTTCCCTCCTTTCTCTCAAAAAATCATATCTATAAAAACATAATAAGTCTTAATTAAAGTTATATCTCTCATTTATGTCCATGTTTTTAATGCTAATCATTTTGTACATTGTGTTTTTAGAGTTGTACTATACAATTTTTTTGAAAAAAAAAATACCCCTATTATTATAACTTCCATTACCTTTTCCATTATTGTTACCATGCACATGTATCCACCATATATTTTCTTTAATAATAATAATATTTGTATACATTCTATATTGGATTATTATAATAAATAAATTTGATTTCATATAATTTTAATTAGTAGGAATTTGTTAGTTAGTTATTTTAAAAAATATAAATATTGGACATATGTTTTTTGCGCATCAGGCATAAAAAAGACTAACTATTATGTATAAATGTCATTTGTTTATTTCTATTTATGGAGATTTATACTTTTACGGTTGTTACATTAAAATATAATTTTAGGATAAATTTATTAGCCTATTAGGGCATGTTTAGTTCATGTAAAATATTTTCCAATGAAAATGTTTTCCTTGAATATGAGGAAAACTAGATTTTTCTTAGTTTGGTTCATAGAAAATATTTTCTTTAAAAATGAGGAAAATATTTTCCAGGGTCCCCTTGGTATTTTGTTTTCCATGAAAAATAAGTAGGACAATTATATACTCTCACTAACTTTTCTTAATTACCATTATTATTATTGATGTTATTATTATGTAGGGATATAATTGCCGTTATACTAATTATTCTTTACAATTCCAAACTCAACCAAATAATGGAATTAATATTCTCAGTAATTTATTTTCCACCAACCAAACAATATAATTAATCTTCCCAGTAATTTTTTTTCCATAAAATTTCAATTCCATTTCCCTTCAAATATTTTTCGCGAACCAAACGAGACCTTGTTATTTTACATTTATTATTCATATAAATAAATATCATTGTCATGTACGTGTATATATATATATATATATATATATATATATATATATATATACTTATGTATGTATAGTATCGTTGAAATAAAATTTTACGATATATGTTCTAGCTAAGCACAACTAGAAATGATGATATGTCTCAAAGATTTCACGTCGATCATTTAGTATCCAATTAATCTATATATATATATATATAGAGGCGGGTTCAGGTGCGGCAGTGTCTTACGGTGCGGCTATTTCTTACGGTGCGGCAACACCAATATTTCACCAAATATGCACCATCAACGTTAGGAAATACACCACACAAAACAGAGTAAACAGAGCCCTGCATCACCAAACACACACCATTAGGTGTGAGTAAAAACACCATACACTGTTCAAAATACACCATTGGGGGTGGTGAGTTATATGGTGTATTTTTTTGAGTCTGTGGTGTATTTTGTGATATTTTATTACATTTCATTGGGATGTGTTTTTATTACACTGTTGGTGCATATTGTTAACACTGTTGGTGTATTCTGGAATTTGACCGCACCGCCGCACGGTAAGACCCCGCCGCATATGAGCGCTCTTCTATATATATATATATATATATATATATATATATATATATATATATAATCCTACTTCACAAATTTTCCCCCCAAAATTTAAGGGCATTTGTGTAATATCCAAATTCAATTAATTAAAGAAAGCAATTAATTATTAATAAAGAAAGCAATTAATTAAAGTAAGAAATCACGTACATATACAAATCAATTTGCTATATCACTAATTATTAGCTTATATCACTATTTATTCAAAGCAATACAAACTAAATCTTTACAAATTTGTTTAAATTTACATTTTATTAAATCATTCATTCCACCGAAATAAAGAAAAGATGCAATAAATGCCTAACCACACCCAAGAACTTGAAAATGATCCATTGATCCATCCATTCAATAAAGAAAACCTGGCAAATTATTGTGTTATGCACAAATTACAAATTCATACAAAGTTCACAAATTTATGAAAACACGTCTATAATATTATGAATAAAAAATACTTTACATATTATGAATAAAAAAAATACTTTACATGACTTATGAACACGTCTATAATATTTATGAATAAAAAATATATTACATATTATTAGTTAGCAAAAATATTATTATTTGGTAAGCAAATGTAAAATGGAAATGAATTAAAATTTATTAATTGGTAATATTGCATAAGAGTTAATACCCAAAATAGTCCATCGACTATGTCGTAATTACCAATTTGGTCCTCGACTATCATTCTTACCCAATTAAGTCCTCAACTATACAATTTTTACCCAATTTAGTCCTTTGTCAATTTGACTGTTTGTTGACTGTCAAAAGTGGAAATAAAGTTGTAATTTTACAAGTTTTCTCCTTCCTCCGCATTTAGCAGCGCTAAACCATATAGCAATAAGCTCCGGTTGGGTTCTAAACCTGTCAGTATCGAAGTAGTGGTTGTGCATCGGATAGCCCATGAATTTGATTTTCAACGATTTTTTGACGATCGAAATCTGATCGGGGTGTATTGCTGCATGGTTTGGCGCTGCTAAATGGATAGGAAGGAGAAATCTTGTAAAATTATAATTTTATCCCGACTTTTGACAGTCAACAAACAGTCAAATTAATACAGAGGACTAAATTGGGTAAGAATTGTATAGTTGAGGACTAAATTGGGTAAGAATTGTATAGTTGAGGACTTAATTGAGTAAAAGTTACATAGTTGAGGACTTAATTGGATAAGAATGGTAGTTGAGGACCAAATTAGTAATTATGACATAGTCGAGGGACCATTTTAGGTATTAACTCTATTGCATAATTACATCTTTCCTTTTTGAAAAATTATACAAGTTTATAATTCTCATATTTTCTACCTATAAATACAATGGATTGGTGAGTTTGGAAATCATAATGTTTTATTTTGCACGATTTCCCTCTATCTTCTTCCTGTTCTCTATGTGATTTTTTTTACACTTTTCAAGATTACCAATTAATAATACTAATAATAATTAGTCAAAAAATTAGTAGTAAAATAGAAAAAAAATTCTTAATTCACAAAAAATAGAAAAGGAAACGGAATTCACTGATTAATTAATACTAACAATAATCAGTAAAAAAAATTTTGTAGTAAAATAGGAAAATAAAAAAGATCCTTAATTCACTAAAATTGGAAATATAAACGGAATTTATTGATTATTACTAATAATAATCAGTAAAATAGGAAAATAAAAAAGAAGTCTTAATTCAATGAAAATGGAAAAAAAAAATGGAAGGCTGTGAAACAAAAAAGAGTCATAATAAGGATAAGTAAAAAAAAAATCCTACCAAAAATAAATAAAAAATTCTTAATTCACGAGAAATAGGAAAGGAAATGAAATTCACTGATTAATTAATAGTAATAATAATCAGTAAAAAAAGTTAACAATAAAATAGGAAAACAAAAAAAAAAAGATCTTTAATTCACTAAAAATGAAAAAAGAAACGAAATTCACTGACTAATACTAATAATAATCAGTAAAATTGAAAAATAAAAAAAGAATTCTTAATTCAATAAAAATGAAAAAAAAAAAAAAGGAAACGGATGGTTGTTAAAAAATGTCATAATAAGGATAACAGTAAAAAAAAAAATTTACCAAAAAATTTGAAAAATAAAAAAAGATCCTTAATTTATGAAAAATAGAAAAAGAAATGGAATTCACTGATTAATTAATACTAATAATAATCAGTAAAATAGAAAAATAAAAAAGGATCCTTAATTTACTAAAAATGGAAAAAGAAACGAAATTCACTCATTAATACTAATAATAATCAGTTAAAAAGGAAAATATAAAAGGATTATCAATCTATACTACTATTAAAAACAAAATACTCTTTCTTACTTTTCCGCCCAATCAATAGAAAAAGAAAAAAAATCTATACTATAAGTAAAAATAATATTTTATTACTTGATTTCTCGCCCAAACAATAGTAAATAATACAGATAAATTAAAAGAAGGATGAAAAAAAAAAACAAAAATATTTTACATCGTCAATTAAAAATGGAATGAAAATTAGGTAAATTGAAAAAAGAAATAAACATTAATAATTGACAGAAAATTAAAGATAAAAAAAAAAGAAACACAAATTAGCTTAATTGAAAAAAGAAATGAATATTAATAATTGTCTGAAAATAAAAAAAAATGATCCATAATTGACTAAAATAGAAAAGAAAATGGTCAGATCATTGCATTTTAATTTTTCACAATAATATTACACAATATAATACATCAAACCACAATTGTGTCATAAATCTTTCACAAATATAAAAGGAAATGAATATTAATAGTTCACTGCAAATAAAAAATGATCTATAATTGACTAATGTGAAAAAAATAAATGGTTAGATAATTGCATTTTAATTAAAAATGGAAGGGAAACTAAAATTGAACGGAAATATTTCAATTGGTTAGACTAAAATAATTGACTAAAAATGAATCTAATATTACTAATTAACTAAAAATATAAAAAGAAATGAATATTAATAATTGACTGCAAATAAAAATTGATTCATAATTGACTAAAACAAAAAAAAAATGGCCAGATCATTGCATTTTAATTAAAAATGAAATGAAAATTTAAAATTAGAGAAAAATATTTCAATAATAATATTCTACATTATCAATAGTAAATGCATATTTTAAACAATAGTAATTGTAAATTAAAAATGGAACGTAAATTTTTCAATAATAATATCTACATCATCTATTAAAAATGAAACGAAATAAAATAATAATTGGCTGAAAGTGAATCTGATATTACTAATTGACTGAAAATATAAAAGGATAACTAATTGAGTGATATTCTACCATTACATATTTTCACCCATGTAACCTGTTCTGATGGATTGAAGGTGTTAGCTCTAGACGAAGATGAACAAGATTGTGTTGTCATTACTAATGTCTTCTACAAAGAGGTTTCAATAATGTGTAAATATAATCGGTGATA